TTAGAGTGTGGCACCAGGGGCCATCAATTTTGAACCTTTTCACAATATTCTAATTTTCTGATATGATGAATTTGAGATTTTCATTTGTTGTCATTTGTAATCATCAAAATTAAACAAAATAAACATCTGAAATATATGAGTTTGTATGTAATGTATGAATATAATATACAAGTTTCACTTTTTAAATGGAATTACTGAAATCAATCTACTTTTTCATGATATTCTAATTTTATGACCAGCACCTGTATATCACTAGTTGGGGAGTGTTGGCCTACTGGTTAGAGTAGTGCGCTTGTTGCCATTACCCTTGTTGCCATTCGATCCCCAGAGCTTCCATTCTGGGTCCCTTAACCCCAAACTGCTCCACGAATGCCGCACAATGGCAGCCCACTGCTCCCCAAGGGGATCGGGCAATATCTCCAATGTGAGATCAATAACGTTCAATTATAATTAGTTCTAAAACCAAGTGAAAGCAGTGAAAATCTAGGACCTGAGATACCAAAAAACAAAATAAACAATATTTTATTTATGAAAAAACTCAAATTACAGAGTGGCTGAAGGCAGACAGTTGATAAAGGAAATTATTTGTCAGCCTTTCACCATCACATTGACTATCAAAGCAGGCTAACTAAAGCTAGAGAAGAAATGCTTCTGGTAACTCAAAATATACTCCAAAAAATACTCCACAATGCACATTAAACTAAATTAAAATTAATTTAGGATATCTTTCATAATAACTGGCTTTAGTTAAACTTATTTAACTTAAGCAGGTTAGCCAACACTAGGCATTTCCGCTGGAATAGATCAAAATACACAAACATCACCCTTTTCCCGCCATTTATATAAAAAGGTAAAAGCAATTAAAGAAACAAAAGGGTTACATAGAAAGTAAAATCATAATCCAACAACTCAATTATATTGTTTTGTGCTTTCTTAATTGTTAACAGCAAAGTTTTCAGTGCATTTTAATGAGCGGAGGGTCTCACAAATATTGCCGTCAAACAAAACTGTATAAATGTCTATATTGTTAATTATGCTCCAACAATCATTATGTTGAGATAAATATAACAATAATATAACAAAACACATTTCTTTCCTGCCACTGAAATAGTCTCCCCAAAGAGCAGTCATTTTACTTTCAAGAAAAATGTTTTGAGAAAATGATTTAAAGGCAATAATGATGTTGATGGACATAAATACATTCTATTCTTTGAGGTTTAATGAAGAGAAAACAATGAATATCTAAGTTAAGAGTTAAGCATCAGTAGATTTTAATTGTAGTCCATGTTTCTTTTTTTAATCTTAAAGTTCAGTTTTCCAGTAGAAATGTATGTATTTTTATACTTTGATCTCCGGAGTTCTCATTTTGTAAAATGAATCTTAGTGTAGTACATAAACTTCAGTGTGTTGTGGCCTTTTTCTTCATCTGGCGAAAAAAAGTAGGGCAAAGGAAAGATGCAACAAAGAAAGGAAATACACAAGGAAGAGAAAACCAAGGAACAAGGAAAGAGGAACAGAAGTTCGAGTTAATGGATAGAAGGAAGGAAGCAAGGATAAAAGACAAGGAGGACACAGGGAAGGAAAAGAAGGAAGGAAATTAAGGAAGGGTAGAAAAGAAATGAACACAAGGAAGGAAAGAACTGAAATAATTAAGGAAGGCTAAATATGAGGAAAACAGGTATATAGGACAAAGTAAAGGGAGCGAGGACAAAAGACAGGAAGGTAGGAGGCAGGATGGAAACAATGAAGGAAAGAAACAGAATGGAAGGTAATCAAGGAAGGGTAGGAAAGACAAAAGAAGGAAAGAAATAAAAGAAGGAAAGAAATGAATACAAAGAAGGAAAGATAACAGAGATAACTAAGGATAAAAATAAAATAATAGGGGAAATGAGGAACATGAGGAAGTAAGGTGGGAAGGACATGAAGAAGGGAGGAAATATGAAAGAAAAATGGAATAAGCATTAATTCTTGAATTACAAACATTTTGCAGTTTTATTTTCTTTTTCCTTACCTGGAAAATGCCGCAAAAAAAAAAACAAAAAAAAAACAACAAAAAACAAAGACTCCTCCAGACAGAGTTAACATCAGGATATTCTAAAAGGTTTATAGATACTTTATAAAGAAAAGCTTGAAGTTAAATGTAGAACAAATACCAGACAATTAAAATCAAAGACACTTGAACTAGAATACCTCAATGTCTTTATTGTTGCATTTAAGTCGAAGGTACAATGTTACAAACATCCATCCATGTTGGGACATTGAGATGCAGAGTAGGATACGATTACAGATGTGTGTGTTGCATAGGCTTGGAGCTACACAAACAAGTGCATGATTAAAAAAAAATGAAAAAAGCATAAAAAACATAAAAAAAGGACACAAAGTTTAAAAAAAAATACAGCACAATAAAAAGACCTTATTAAAAAAAAACATAAAATGTCACATTAATTAACTCTTTAAAAAATATTTTGGTCAAGCTCCCCTGCTCTTTTCAGGAGCCAAAGGAATGTGATTGTCAGACTGTTGAGCAGAAACGTTAACCAATTTAATGCCCTGACAAACCGTTCATGTACTAATCCCAGATACAAGCTACTAAAAAACACAACGGATAAAAAAAACAAAAACATAAAATCAAATAACCTTTGCTGTGATCCATTTCTCAGCTGATGAAAACATCTTTGCAATCGTAAGGCGAGAGGTTTTACATAGTGGTAAATATCCTTAAACTGCTAACTCATTACATGCTTTGGGCAGCCTGTTTTTTTTATTATTCTTTTTTTAATGCCGCTGTCATACTTTGATTTAGTCAGGTGATGTTGACGTATAAAAAATTTGGCAAAAACGCTGGCATACATCAGTTTTGTATGTTATGGGCATGCTGGCATGTTTACATACGGCAAATATGCAAGCATGCTCAACATTTCTATGCTCATACGTAGGACATACGTTATGTGATCGTTGAGAAAGGTTACTTGTAAGTTACTCATAAGTAATGCTAACTTATCCAGCTCATATTATCCCCATCATAGGCTGAGCAAGAAGGTGAGTGTAAATGGATCCTCCCTGCGTTCACACCGACAGCCTCGACCAACAAGCTTCCTAGCAGACATAAAGCTGAATCTGCTGCGGCTGCAAACCTTCTTTCTTTTTATTTATTTTTTGGCCGTAAACAGAAGCAAGGTAATACAGTTACTGCGGAGTTTAGAGAAATCTTCTTATTGTACTTTTTATATAGGCTGAGCGTCTCCTTACCCCCTTCATGCTTGTGTCATATGATGAGCATTACGCTGCCGTGCATCATGCATAAGTTAGGCCAGGGATCTCCAAAGTCGTTCCTCGAGGGCCGCTGTCCTGCAGGTTTTAGAGGTTTCCCTGCTCCAGCACAGCTGCTTTACATTGATAGTTGATTAACAGGCTTTTGCTGAACTGCAATAATCAGAATCAGCTGTGCTAAAGCAGAGAAACCTCTAAAACCTGCAGGACAAGTTAGGCTGTCGTTGGACATAAGTTCTGGACTCGTTATGAATACTCTATGCATTCACCCAAAACTGAAAAAATGCATAGAAAGTTCAGCGTATGCCAGCATTTTAGAAGATTCTGGGATGTCGGCATACCCTGGCTAAATGGTCAAGGTGTGACAGCGACATTACATAGCATGCCCTTAATTAAGGTATTGCTTGAGCTTTTAAGAGATTACTGTAGAAGGCAGAATACAAAACATGACGTGCACTTTTTCTGTACAGGACAGCTTCAAGCAGAGAAGGCACCACGAGCATTCAGAGGAATGTAAGAAGATTTTGTCTGAATATTTTTTTTTTTTTTTACAGTGCTGCTAAGAAAAAGTTTGCATCTTTAGAGATTCATTCTGTTTTAAGATTTAATGTTGCACTTAAATGACACGTGGAGTGTTTTTTGTTTTTTTTGGATACAGCTATTAAGAAGTTTTTGCAAATCTGATGAATTCAGTTGCTGGAAGAGTAACGTCACGTTACAGTGTGGATTTTGACAAGCCCACTCAAAAAAAAAACCATTTGTTTCATGGAGACATTTAGATATGGAGTTGTTGGTGAGCAGTTTTCTACTCGAAAGCAGAACTTTTACCTCCTGAACCAAGTAAAAAAGAAACCAGACCATCATACTACCACCACCATGTTAAACTCTAGGTAGTTTGAATGGATAATAACACTGTTTCTTATCAGTTCTTCCATTTCCTTTGATTGGATTTTATAAAGACTTTGACGGCATGAAGTAGGCGAAAATATGTCAGACATTTTCCTTTTTTTACATTTACATTTAAGGCAGTAAAAGTGCTTCCAGCTTTCTAAAGAAATGCAATGAATCACAGCCTTTAAGTAATAACACCTGTACCTGATATTAAAAGAGACATTTAGATGCGACAATAAAAATTAAAAAAACAGAAGAAATCTGTAAAGATCAACCACTTTTTTCATCAGTACTGTTTAAATTTATCAATAAAAGCTAAAAAAAGAACAGATAGATAAGATAAAACAAATTAAAACTTAAATTAAAATGACAAGGATAATAATAAAAGTCATAATGGCCTTCTAAATATTCAGCACTCCCTTTCACCTTCAAATATAACCCTCTGTTGGTGAGTTTTTGATACTAAATAAAAAAGCGAAACATACCTTCTATGCGCATAGCGATGTTATAGATGATACAAAGATGATCAGAACGTCACATGTGCTAACTTATATTACTCAGACTTTTGCTTTGCTATTGTTAAAACATTAAACAAGTGAAATCAGCTAAAATCTAGAAGTGCTTACATTTCTATCCTGAACAGGTGGCTGCTGAGTATAAAATAGCAAAGTGTGAAGCGGTCTCTTTAAATATAAATAAAAAATAATAATAATAATAAAGGAGAGATGGAATGTAATCTGTAAGAGGTGGAGAGGTGGTTTCACTCGTCTCTTTGGAATGTGGGAACTTTTAAACCGGTCCAGTAGAGTATAAAAAAATACTAACGCTTGATTCAGATATTTTTTTAGGTTCTAAAATGTCCAAATTTCACAGCATTTTTTTCATTATTGTCAAAGCCTAACCCATTGTGCAAAAGTACTAAGATTGGCAAAGAAAAAACAATGGTGGTGTTTCAGTACAGTGCGAGGTCAGGATCTTTGTGGTCCCCTCGTAAGGATCTGTATTTCATTTGGTTTATAGGGAGATAAAAAGGAAAAACTGTTCAAAAGGTAGAATCTTGGATTGTCGCGGTCCCCATTTTTAGTGGCTCCGTCAAGACATTAGTGTCCCATACCTGGAGAGAGACACGATGCAAGTAGATCAGTGGCTGTGTTTACAGTCTTGTAGACAAGTGCGGGTTAGTGGCTCTGATCCTCTGACACGCGGGGGTCAAAATGAGCAAAGAGCACAGAGAAGAGTTCAGGAGGCAAAGCTGTGTGCTGTCAGCACTTACTTAAGCATATCTTAAGCAAAATCTTGAAAAGCATGGCATATATACACAAACAAAATCCAGAGCATCCATCGTTTGTTTTGCACTTATAAATTTAGAGCATTTGTAATTTTGGGAAGATTCTTCCTTTTACCATTGATTTTTCCTGATATGTTTTGAAGATATCTACCCAAGAAATTCAATTATCTAGATGTGCAAATTAGACATAACCCAGAAGTTTACAACTAAGGTAGTTTTACAAACACATGCTTTAGTATTATAATTTTCAAATATTTTTCTTTTCCAGCAATATGTGCTACTTTGTTTTAATTTTGCAAACACAGGCTTGCAAAATACATTTAAGATGGGTTAAAAAGGTTAACATTTGATTAGGAAATTTGGTGCTAACTGGGGTGTTTTGCGGTGCCTGCATCCTTAAGGTCCTGCAGCCAGCTCTGGGTAAGAATTCTGAAATCTGTACAAATCCTCCATCATCCTCTAAGTCAGCCTGAAATGGTGCACTAATCTGCAACATACCAGCCATTAATGTGACAAAACCAGCCTGGCAGGAGCTCCGCTTTTAACACTTATCGGGTCTAGAGCAGCAAAAGTGGAGCTGTGCATGAGTGAAAAAGTTAAAAGGTTTGAGTGGCGTCACGATGGCTGCAGAGTGTGTTTATAGAAGCTGCATGTGCATGTGTGCACTGAACAAGTGGCACGTTACATCGACACGTACAGAATCCATCAAGGTCAAAGTTCCCTCCTGTCTGCTGGGGGGTGAAGGAAGGAGACTGCACTCCGATCTGACTCTAAAATAGCAAGCAATGTTTAGGTGGCATCCTAAAAGGCTGTGGAGTTAACAAAAGGCCAAATGGCATGCTGGAAAAGACCGCAGGGAGGGCTATGGTGTGAGCAGTTTATGCTTTAAGGACACATGGTGCTGGGTAAATCAAAGCTCAGGTGACAATTTAACACATGTAGCAGAAAGGTCAAAGCAAAAAAGCAGGAAAGGGTAGTACTTTAGAAAACATCAATGCACACTTCAACGCCCTTTTGTTAGAGAAAGTAAATTGACAGCTTAGTTAAAAAAACGGGGGTGCCACAAAAATCTGGTGCTCTGACATTTTAGCATGGCTTACAGAGTTGGGTTGTGTTTATTAAATATTATTAGTTCTTTTTCTGTCATAAGATATTATTTTATAACATAATGTGTTCTGTAAATCTGACAGGAGTTATTAAAGGTGAAACAAGGATAACAAAGGTTCAGTTGGAACAGGCAGCTTATAAAGGTGGACATATTTGGGCTGTGCCTGTATGTTCGCCCTAATCACTATATAAGGAACTATATAGTGATTACGCCATTTTAAATGAGTTTCCAAATGTCTAGTGAATGGAAAAGTAGTGGGCTCAAAATTTCCCACAATGCACCTTGAGAAAAAGTGATCATCCATGGTCACTAGACAAGCAGATATATCCCGGAACGCTTTGAGCGGAGAGCTCTCCTCACAAAGCATTATGAGATTTGTTGTCACAACGGCCGCTGTTTTTTTTTGTGCTTATTTTAATATAAATATAATGAATATATTAGAAATGCATAAATGACAGCAAGAATATTAAATAAATAGGCTGGCAATTTCAAACTCCAACGATGTTAAAAGCTTTTATAATTGGCTCCTGTAGTAGCTAAATGTGCTCTAATGCTGGCTTGTCGTTTAATAAAAGCACAATAGCCTGGATTTCCATAACAGTGATGCATCATACATAGTTTTTGCTGGTAGTTGTTTGATATAAAAACTAGTGCTGTCAAAATTATCGCGTTATTAACGCGTTAACGCGAGGCCATTTTAACGGCGATAATTTTTTTAACGTGAGATTAACGCTATGTGGTTTTATGGTACAATTTTTCCAAGTACATCCCGCTGCAGCCTGCGGGAAGGCGGGGCTATTTTCCCCCAGTGTATGCATTTCTCATAGGCTTCCAGAGCGAGCTCCTCAAGGGAAAAAGACGCGCATACACTGGGTGACGCTAGTGCCTTTTCTTTAAGCCCCACCACCAACAAACAAGTTGAGTGTCTGGTAACTAGTAGCAACCTGAAATACGCTGAGAAAACTGATTACTGAGGTGAAATGGAATCTCGTAGCAGCCCTCTTGCCGTCTGTGTACGCAACAGGTCAGTATCGCGTGTGTGTGTGTGTGGGTGGGTGTGTCTGTGTGTGGGTGAGTGGGTGTGTGTGTGTTCTCATTTTTGTTAAGAGGCTGAAAAGTAACTTTCTAGAGAGCATAGACTACCTTCATCTAGTGATGTCGGTCTATTGATTTTGATGTATTGATTGAAAATTGTTCATTATTACCTTGGTTAATTAACATCTAATGTTAACTCTACTGCATTTTATAGCGGTAGGGTAAAATGCTTGTCTTTGTTCAAAAGACTGTATTAACTGTAAAGACTGTCTTTTACATCAGCCTGTTTTCAGGGCCTTTTTTTTGGCTACATATTTGTTATTTTTTGCTACATGCCTCCCCATCTTCTTGCCATATGTTTCTATGGCATAAATCAGTATCTGTGACCTGTTTTCATTTTAAAAAAAGAACATTGGCACAAACCTAGCCTGTATGTATTTTTTTGTATGTCATCGAGAGTATTTAAATGATTTTCAATCAGGAAAAAAATGTGCGATTAAAATGCGATTAATCGCGAGTTAACTCAGGCATTGATGCGATTAATCGCGATTAAAAAATTTAATCGATTGACAGCACTAATAAAAACAAATCCTGAAGATATTTTCAAATGTCTCATGCAAAATTCCTTTGCAGAAATAAGCTAAAACTAATGTCTTGTTATTACTCACCGTTAGCAACTGATTTGGCCTCTCCTCTGCCTGCCATCTGCCAAAAACATCACAAAAATATGGTTACGATGCAGCAAAGATAAGATTATAAATAAATAAAAAATACCAGAACCACTAAGCAAAAAGCATCACATTGTAGTCTAATGAAGTGTTTACCAACCGATACCTGGCTCTGGCAAAGCCCCAACCTCAGTCTAGGACCTACAAACTCCAGAATTACCTATTTTTCTGTTTTCATAATTTTAAATGTTTCAGTACGTCAAAGCAACGATTTAGTGGACAAAACTATCAATAATCCTTCTTAAAAAGTAACTGCTGTTGAAAACTATGAACTCATCCTTTTATGCAGGAGTATGTTCAATTCAGTCAAATTGGAGGCTTTTTTGAACATTAACTTACAGAGAGATGTCAAACCCACACCTTCCAGTTTCTGCCTTAAACTAAAATACTACATAAACTTCATTATATTTAGTAAAGTATTCAAAGTTGACCTTTTTGGTGTACCAGGTACCAATTTCCTGCAGCTTTACTACACAAATCAATGTCCTTCTCTTTTAGGACTTTCTGCCAAGCAGCATTTCATAAATAACAGCATGTCACCAGACCTCGAGGCAACAAAGCAGCTTGATTTTGGTAACATTGAAAAGTTTCTTTGAGTTCTTGGGGTTTTTATCCTAAAAAAAGGAATGGAAGCTTTTGTGTCTTTCCTGTTGGACATCTCACTATGGTAAAATAAGAGCTTAGAATAGAGTTTTTACTATTTCCAGACCAAAAGATGGATCTATCAGGCTATGGTTAGGTGATGAATTAACAAATTATATTTTTATAGTTAATTTATGATTTAAGCTTTTATTTTCTTAAGAAATTAGTTTAATGATCTGAAACATATTGGTGTGCAAAGCAAAGCAACAATCAGGAGAAGTCTAAGTGTGTAAATACTGAAAACCTTATATTTGCTTTGATCAGATTTATTCTGAAACGACATCCCAGCCATATTGGAAAAAACAAAACATTTAAAACTTTCACCAGTTCAAGCGACAAAACATTCAGTGAAGCTGAGCAGAGAGCTGTGATTTGCGGCCATCAGAAGCTGGAGCAGTGATGTGACAAATCCACCCATGAAAAGTGGGAACACCAGTCACCCAGTCAAAACTTGCAATCTGGACCTGACTAAACCTGCTTTGTTACGTTGAGATGATTAGACCGATTCATGTTTGTCTTTTCAATGAGCTTGATTCTCTGGAAAGTCGCTCTTGTTTATTGCTCTAAATGACAATGAAGCCCTCAGTCACACAGGTGCATAATAATTATCTAATCCAGCACTAAACCTCATGGGCGCCTATTTTTATTACTACAATAAACAGTAGTGTCCAAACAAAGCAGAGCAGAATGCAGCTGCGCCCTTAACAGAGAGCAAAACAGCGTGGCAGCAGAGCGTGAGGTCATTCTGGGACAAGTGCGTGGCGGAAACGTAGATTAATTACTCCTTTACCTCTGCAGGCTTATTCCAGATCGAATGCCGAGGTCAACTAGCTGTGAGAGTTCTTTAAAACAAAAACAAACACCAGTGATTGTTACTTCAATTACTGCCGCGGCAGGGTCAAAACAACGTGAGATCCTGGCTCTTCTTTTCTCCCTCCTCGACTTTAGCAAAACATTCTCTTGAGGGGCGACGGCTGAAAAGGCATGAGAAGCTTTCCGAGACCACAAACCACTTCATAGCATATTTAAAACTTCATCTGGATGTTGTAACGCTTAGCTAGGCTTTTTTTTTTTTTTTTTTGCTGCTCATGTTAGAAGTGAAAGAATGAGCAGAGATCAATAAGAGCTACCTTTGTTGGAGTGGCGCCTTTGTTTTCCCATAGACTCCTCTTGTTGGTGACATCAACGGGTTTCAGGTCCTGTCGGAGTCAATCAGAGAACAAAAGGCAGGGAACAGAGCCATTTATCAGTGGTGCTCAGCAACTGTAGATCTGCTTGATTTAGAGGAAGAAAAGTGGGAAAGTGAGGATGAAGGGAGAGTTTAAAGACTTTATTCTGTTCGGGGCAGGTGGAAAACAGCCCCCCTCATTCTTAACCCTAAAATAACTTACTTTAACATGATTTTAATCTATTTCTTGGCTTTTAAACAAACTAAGTTCACACCATATGAAAATGATTGTGTTTTCATGTCTAAACTTTGCCATGTTTGACTGAAGAATGGCTTTTAACTAGTAATGAGAAATATGTTTTAATGAAGGTTCTACGACAGCATAGTGCAATGTTTAAGATCAGATTTAACCAAACTGCTCAAAAATCAAGGTTTTATTTCCTCTGAGCTGCTCAAAGGTGGACATGATAGTTACTTTTTGGTTCTTTTGATACTTTAGATACATTATTTTATTTTTACATAGTGAGATCTGTTCGTCTACTTCATGTTGTCAGTCGGGTACGATTTAAATGCTTTTTTTTAATTAATTATGGCCTTAACCAACCATGAGTGTACATAGACTTATACTCTATTAAAACTTGATCACAGATAATTCATACCTGCACAGAAATGTTGACTTTTTATTGCTTAATACATGAAATAATCGTTTGCAATTGAAATTTTGTTTTTGCTTAGATTTACTCATCGGATATATTTTTTTTTTTTTTAAGATTAGATTAGATTAGATTAGATGAGCTTTATATACCCGTGAATTTCTTCACAGCGGAGAAATTCACTGGTCACATATTGGCATAGTACTTAAAGAAGGTGCAAACAAGGAGGAAAAGGTGCATCAGGAATAAAAAAAAAAATAAAAAAATAAAAAGACATTCTAAAGCTTACTATTATCTGCATAAAGCTTAAATAACTACTGAACTGTAATAAACTTTAAATATAACAAAGTGCGCCATGGTATTGTCATCAATCTCCATCTGCATGAGTTGAAATATATCTGTGGCCACCAGGTGGCGCCAAAGAAATGACAGCTGCACCAGAATCAGCGAGAAGGACCTCGCTGCAGCAAACAGAAAGGGGCGGGGACGGACCTTTCCGTCAGTCCCATACCTTATTTGGAAATGGGACTATTGCATTCCGGAAATGAAGGGGGCGCTATTTTCATAATCACTAGTATAAATGCCTTAAAGACGCGGGGTTAAGAGGAAAGGAAGAAGAAAGAAAGAAGTTTAAAAAGATTTTGCACTGGTGTTCGGCACACGATCCATAATGCAAAACCCACAAAATCAACAAAAGGTAATTTTACCTTCTTAAATTTTTTTTCACATAGTAAATTAATACGCTTTTCTAGATTCAGTTTTTTAAGAAAACCTTCAATTTGTCCTTTTTAAAAGGTCCAGAGAAGAACTACAAAAGGAGAGAAAGCGGAAAAAAGTTAATGAGAGGGCAAAATGTGAGGTAAGCTGTAGCTAAAATTCATCACTTTGTTGTTTTAAGTCATAGAATTTGTATTATGTCCATTCACAGTGTACTTTTGTTCTATGCTTATTTTTTTAAGTCTGAAAGAAAATCAGTATAGAAGAATTAAAAGGGTTGAAGCAGTTTTGATGTTATTTAGATTTGCATTCATCTTTCACTTAGAACATATCTGTATTTTTACAGACTCTGTGTGCTGATGACCACACCTATGCCAAAGGAGCCGAGGCACAAATCAAGGTTCATTTTTAAATTTACACATAACTAGTAATTTTGATTTGTGTATCTTTATGTGCAAATGAGACTAAAACCCTAAATGATTTTTTTTTTTTTTTTTTTTTTTATAAAAATTCATTATTTGGACAACTTTTTTTTTATATCATTAGAGATGAAAGGATAAGATACTGAGAGATATAAAGTATTAATTATTGTTTAATGCTCTTCACCATGCAGGTAGAAAGGATACCGCCAATCTTACAGGTAAGATTCATTCATAATCATATGTATCATCCATTCTTCCTGTATTACAGTCTTGCAATGCACCTGTTTTTTATTTTGTTTGTTTTTTTATTTTTTTATTTTCAGATGCGGAGGAGAGGAGAGTACCCTCGTTACTACTGTGATGGCATACCTGGACTTTGCCCTGAGTGCCAACATTGAATTCAAAGAAAATATAAGTCGCTTTCCACAATCTCACATATTGTTAGTTTTTTTTGTGACATGCCATTTGAAATCGTTTCTGATAAAGAATATTTACCTTTTGACTTGTGCAGTCCTCCTTTTTCATAATGTGTTCTTTCAATATTATTTACATTTTTGAAAGTTCCTTTTGTTGTAGCTCAGTTGATTTACATCATTTAGTTTTCATAGAAATGGTGTTGTTTCCACAAAGTTACATTGTGGCTGTAATTTGTTGGAGAGACAGTAGAACCAATAAAGTAGTTGTAAATATATTGTAACAGCGTTGTTTAACAATTGGAAAATTTTAAATGCAAGCAAAGCTAATAACTTGCAATATACAATGTTTCCTATACATTTTTGAACAATGACTGGAATCAATACAAATTTTCTTTACAAACCTGACATACAGACAAGTTGTTTATGTTTTAACAGTTAGAATCAACTTGTTTTATGTAATAAAAAATAAGTTGCAGAAACATATTGTTCAGATACAAACATAAGATTAAACGAGCAAAGCGAAGGTGTAATCAGGGTGGAGGTGATGGAAGCTCAGGTGAGGAGCAGTTGCACACATCAAGCTGGACTTTATGAAGGGTGAAGGACTTGCGACCGGCGCCGTTAGGCTGGGAGGGAGGCACCTGAGCAGGTGATTGGCTGAGCAGGTGAGATGAAGACAGACTTTATTCAAAAAGGTTTTCATGTAGAAAAAAATATCATTCTCTCTGGTGGTTACCAGTACAGTGTCTACTGCCGGGATCAGAAAGTTGAAGATTATTGTCAAATGAACTTTCTAAAACCTACTTTCTGTGCGAGTCTTTCCAGGTTGAGGCTACATTTAAGGTTTTAATTAATCACTTTGGGTTTTGCTACAATTGGATATTCATGTTTTTGGAGTGCAGTTCATGAATTTATTGCAATTGATAAAATTAATATGGTATTTCTAAATGGAATAGTGGGACACCAGTCAGTTTACTAGTTGAGCTGGAGTCCTTATAGGAGATAATAATTGAGCCAGGTCACCTGCAACCAAGTATATTCTAGTTACCGAATGGCACTTGTTAAAAGTTCAAAAGTCCTTTGGTTTGTTTGTAAATTATATTCACAATGAGAATAATAAGAAAAAATATTTGGCAAATAAACAACAAAAGTGCACCGTGAATGGACGTACTAAGTTGGCCAAAATTGTCGACTAAATGTTTTACAGACCAAACCTCTTTTCCATCTAGTTCTTATTAAATAAGCCAAAGGCTATTATATTTTAGATTTTAACTTATTTATTTTAAGAGTACCGTTCACAACATCAAAATATATTATTTGAACTTCAGCACCAGCATGTATTTGTTTACAGGTGCTGGTCATAAAATTAGAATATCATGAAAAAGTAGATTGATTTCAGTAATTCCATTTAAAAAGTGAAACTTGTATATTATATTCATACATTACATACAAACTCATATATTTCAGATGTTTATTTTGTTTAATTTTGATGATTACAAATGACAACAAATGAAAATCTCAAATTCATCATATCAGAAAATTAGAATATTACTGAAGACCAATAAAAACAAAGGATTTATAGAAATGTTGGCCAACTGAAAAGTATGAACATGAAAAGTATGAGCATGTACAGCACTCAGTATTTAGTTGGGCCTCCTTTGGCCTGTATTACTGCAGCAATGCGGCGTGGCATGGAGTCGATCAGTCTGTGGCACTGCTCAGGTGTTATGATAGCCCAGGTTGCTCTAATAGTGGCTTTTAGCTCTTCTGAATTGTTGGGTCTGGTGTATTGCATCTTCTTCTTCACAATACCCCATAGATTTTCTATGGGGTTAAGGTCAGGAGAGTTTGCTGGCCAATTAAGAACAGGGATACCATGGTCCTTCAACCAGGTACTGGTAGCTTTGGCACTGTGTGCAGGTGCCAAGTCCTGTTGGAAAATGAAATCTGCATCTCCAAAAAGTTGGTCAGCTGCAGGAAGCATGAAGTGCTCTAAAACTTCCTGGTATGTGGCTGCGTTGACCCTGGACCTCAGAAAACACAATGGACCAACACCAGCAGATGACATGGCACCCCAAACCATCACTGACTGTGGAAACTTTACACTGGACTTCAAGCAACGTGGATGAAGTGCCTCTCTTCTTTTCCTCCAGACTCTGGGACCTTGATTTCCAAAGGAAATGCAAAATTTACTTTCATCAGAGAACATGACTTTGGACCACTCACCAGCAGTCCAGTCCTGTTTCTCTTTAGCCCAGGCAAGACGCTTCTGACGCTGTCTGTGGTTCAAGAGTGGCTTGACACAAGGAATGCGACAGCAGAAACCCATGTCTTTCATACGTCTGTGTGTGGTGGTTCTTGAAGCACTCACTCCAGCTGCAGTCCACTCTTTGTGAATCTCCCCCACATTTTTGAATGGGTTTTGTTTCACAATCCTCTCCAGGGTGCGGTTATCTCTCTTGCTTGTACACTTTTTTCGACCACATCTTTTCCTTCCCTTCGCCTCTCTATTAATGTGCTTGGACACTGAGCTCTGTGAACAGCCAGCCTCTTTAGCGATGACCTTTTGTGTCTTGCCCTCCTTGTGCAAGGTGTCGATGGTCGTCTTTTGGACAACTGTCAAGTCAGCAGTCTTCCCCATGATTGTGTAGCCTATAGAACTAGACTGAAAGACCATTTAAAGGCTTTTGCAGGTGGTTTGAGTTAATTAGCTGATTAGAGTGTGGCACCAGGGGCCATCAATTTTGAACCTTTTCACAATATTCTAATTTTCTGATATGATGAATTTGAGATTTTCATTTGTTGTCATTTGTAATCATCAAAATTAAACAAAATAAACATCTGAAATATATGAGTTTGTATGTAATGTATGAATATAATATACAAGTTTCACTTTTTAAATGGAATTACTGAAATCAATCTACTTTTTCATGATATTCTAATTTTATGACCAGCACCTGTATATCTGTTTTCTTAATCAGCGATGGACTGGGGATCTGTCCAGGGTCAGCAGCCTTCATGACCCCACTTGAGGATAATTCATAAAAATTAATGGATGGATAAATGTGCTCTTAATGTAATGTACATTTGTCTCCAAAATATTGATTTTATTTTATTTTTTATGACTTTTGTTAGAGATATATAGGGTGTAAGGATAGATAAATACATCTCCATAATGATTCCTTATTGTTGCTTATTTTAGATTGTTTGTTACTAAGATAATTTTAAATAAAGATTTCAAAATAAAAAAGGGACATACCACGTGACAGACATGCCCCGTGACTTATCACGTTTTGTAGCCTTTTCTTTACTGTTTAATTAGTATTTTTAATGTTGAAAGTGTTCTTGGGTGTTTTGAAAGGCGTTGTCAAATAAAATACGTTATTATTATTATAATTATTATGAAACGGTCGGTACAGAAAATAGTGTCACTAGCGCCCCCGTCAGTTCCGGAATGAAATGGTCCCATTTCCATATAAGGTATGAGACTGACAGTGGTCCGTCCCCGCCCCTTTCTGTTTGCTGCAGCGAAGTGTACTTCGAATCAGCTCCCTGCAGCTTTTTAAACCTGCCCTGCAGTAATGAAGCAGGGCTGAGGTCACAGGCAGAGCTTTGTCTCTATTGATTGCAGCTCTCTTGTGAAACTCAACCAGTTTAAAAGTGAATAGAATTCTGACTGAAATCCTCCATAAACACGTTTTTTTTTTTTTAAAGATGTTAATAATTTCTGTCTTTTTTTCTTGACTTCAAACCCATAACTGAAGCCATGAAACTACAGGAATCCCTCCTTAGTGAATGAGCATTTTTTATTTTTTTGTATCGTAGTCTACAGCAGGCATGGTTGGGATATATTTCTTTTTTTTTTCTACAGCAGGAGGTCTTATGAGTGTTTCCGCTTGTACAGAGGTGTATAAATTTGCTGGTTTATGGACCTCTGAATACGCCTCAGAGCTGTGCTTTATAAGCAGAGTATTTCCTGGCAGCGACCTACCGTTGGCCTTCCTCCTGACGTCTTGCTGCTCTCTGGGGTTTTATTCAGCCAGTCGTTGATGCGGCCCGCCACGCCCGTCTTTATCACAGCTGCTTCCTGTTTGGAACAGGTTTAAGAATCAGCCAAGCTGGAAATCACCAGTCATTCAACAGCTCTCACACTCAGACTTTTTCATATTTTGTCCGACCGATATAAAGTAACACACATGTGGCACACAAATATATGAAGCCCCATCTACTCTGATTACCCTAAATAAAATGCAGCTAGTTGGCTTTTAAGTAAACTATTTAAGTATTAAGTATTTAAAATATGTACTTTATAAGGGGAAAAAAAAACATAGAACTGCAGATTCCAACTCCACCCACTGGATTAGTGTCCATCTCACTCTTTGTGTGGGAGAAAAACTTTAGTTGTGAAAACTAAATATGGGATTTTTAGCAATATGCAACAAATCTGTCACTGCAAAGCTACACTTTTTAAGTTTGTCCCTACAAAACTCTCTGATTTTCAGGCAACGTTTGTAATATGCACAGAAATTCACAGTTTACATGAACTCTGCATGCAAACATTTCACATTTCCTGCATTTTTCTTCTCCCATGGTGTTCAAGAGTGAGAAGCTATGTTGCCTTTTAGGCCTTGGAAGGACAAAGGAAAAGGAGGCACACCTGTCAGAGAGTGAAATGATACTAAAGACGCAGAGCAGTGTGGCACAGCTAGCCAACGGCTGGCCACGTATGAAACAGTTTGATGTAAAGATCTTTTTTAAAATCATTTAAAAAAATGTTTTTTATTTAAATCATTTTTTTTAATCATTGCATTTGTGCTACACTGCAGCACCGTCTTGTTTCTTTGTGTTAATGAGGAAAAATTACATTTCCACTACATTTCAGTGAGATGTAACTGCTACAATCAGACAGAAGAACTAAAGACATAATAGTAATAAAAAAAAAACTCCCTGGAGTTTCTGTAGCTGCAGTATTGTTCTCAGCTTGCAATTTGACATGCTACAGTGTCACACAAAACAGCAAACATCATAACTACAAGTGAGTGAGAATTTTGTTCTCAAAAAAGGAATAAAATCATCTGTTTGGAACTGCAGGGCTAAAGTTCTGTGGTAGTTGCAGATTTCCAGCATGCGGTAACTGCGGTTGTATTAGAAAAAAATAGGGTTGTGTATTGAAATGCACATGTTAAAACGGTTAGAAAAGGTTCCCGGTCCAAGCTAGCTGTTAACAGAAGCAAGGCTGCAAATAGCGCGGCGTGGATGTGATGTGCCCCAGCCCACTCTTCGGGTTTTGGGATAAGCAGAAACTGCAGGTACAGGATTTATTTTTTCACTCTAAGCACTGAAACTGGTCTGGGTTTGTTGTGACAGATATGGAGCCTTAGAACCCCACGCTTCAACATTAGTCTCGAGTGGAGGTCTTCAACAGGGGGTCCGCGACCCCTAGGGGGTTTACGGAGGTATTGCACGGGGGTCATATTTCCACTGATCTTTAAATACACATTAACATGAATTCAACACACTGTAGTAAACAGATAAATGGAGAAGATGTCTTTCAGTCATCAATGCACAGATTCAGTGACACACAGAAGCTCTTTCAAGCTGGGCACCGTTTCATTCACAACACCTGTCCCATCAACCAGGAATCAGAATCAGAAATACTTTAATAATCCCAGGGAGAAATTAGTTTCATTACATGACTCCATCTGTAATAAAGGGATTATAGGACCAGTTTGATATAACACATACAATATATATAATTAGGGGGTCCCCGCTCCATCTCGCCATCAGTTTGGGGGTCCTTAGCCTGGAAAACATTGAAGGCTAGAGGCTACTCTTTTCAAGGCAGCAGCACCACTTACCTTTTTCAACACCGAAAAGAGAAGCATCCAGCCGAATATGAAAAATGCCAGTTTCTCCAGGGCGAACAAACCCACACTAACCAAAATACCCACAGCAAAGGAACGGCTAACTGTAGCAGAATCCTTTGAGCAAAGCACCGCATATGACAGGAAAGGAGCAGTGTCGCTTTGCACATAGCCAAAGACATGGTGCCCCATTTGTACCTATTGCTTTCCTTTATAATTAGGGAAAAAAAATATTGAATCAAAAAAAATCAACAAAAAAAAATATGTGATTTTATTTTTTGGCCATATGGCCCAGCCGTAACTCTTTCCCGTTTCTACTTTATGGTGATCTAGTTTATACAACACCCAGTAGCATAAATGAAGGTTAGAGACAGTGAAAGAGTGAAAAATCTCCAGGTGGATCCTAAAAGTTTTATTAAATTCCTTTTCTTTACCTTAAAAGTGCTTCCGCCACTTCCGGGCGAGCTAAACACGTTGCCTTTCTCCCACATGCTCTTAATGTTTCGCACATCAGTGACCATGGGAAGGTCCAAAACGGTGGAGCGAGGGGATCTGGATTCCTTGTTCTCTCGCTGGGAAGAGAGAACAGCAGTAATTATGGCTCAGACATATCATACCAAAAAATACATTTTTTTTTTTATAATGAGGTGATAGACGGTTTGAAAACCAAAAAAAGAACTGACCTGAGCAGCTGAGGTGTACTGCTCCAGCCTGTTGTCTATCTTGGACACCACAGGAGAATGAGAGGCCTTCACAGTGCTGCAGAAACGAGCAACATTCATATAGTCATATGTTACACCTCCATTTTTAAGCTAATTTTATGGACATAGAAAGATAAAATGAATAAAGTCAGAGGTAATTATTTAAATGATAACTTTATGAAGGAGAAACCAACCTTTTGTTAAAAAAAGCTCTGATCTACGAGCATATCATTTACATGAGAGTCTAAGGCCCATTCACTGCCAGACAGATAAACTAATGCCACAATTTTGGTGAAAAAAAAAAAACAAACAAAAAAGTCCAGATGAAAGCTTCAAAAAGAACATTAAACTGACAGTAAAACATGGCGGCGGTAGAATTGTGGGATGTGGCTGCTGCAGGACAGCCTGTTATACTGTATATATCTTTTGATACCACCATTTAGCCGAAAAAGGAAGTCAGGTCACACATTTGTGACCTTATGCTGAAGGAAACCGATCCAAAGCACAGCAGGAAGGATGAGTAGAAAAAAAGGGATTTTAAATGGCTGCAAACATGATGCATTTATTAAAAGAAAAAAAAAAAGAAAAAAAAAACGGAATTTGGCTGAATTACACCAATTATCAAAGGCAACTAAAATTCGACCCAGCAGTGTTGTGGCACAAGCAAAGGATGGTTTGAGAAGCTTTCTTTCCCTCTTAAATGAAATCATTTGAAATATTTCTTGAATACAGAAAAGCACAAACAATAAGAAATCAAAATGTGCATATATAACAGTCTCTTAATCAGTAAATTAGTAGGATTGACATAAGTTTGGCTTATCAGACCAAAAACAGAGTTGTACCTTTTCTGTGCAGACTTGTTCAGGAATTCTGCTCTTTCTCCAATCTGGAAAGCAAATATTCAAACAAGTTAGATATTGCCTTCATATCTATTTTAGACATCTAAACTCACTTCATTAAGATGATATATTTTCACACTTGTGAAGACGAAGCTCAGCATGTGGACAAATCACTCCACCTACAGGGATTTGATGAAACCTTACTTTTAACCTTTTTGTTCTTTTTTTTTAACAGCCAATATCTAATTTTATCTCGTTTTCTTGAACTGCTCAATAGCTTAGATGATGCTCATCAAAAATGTCCCTCATTGTTCCCTCTGGGTGCAAAAGCGGCTCTCCAAATAAGCATATGCATGCAGAAAAACAAGCCAAACAGAGCAGGCTCTTTCCTTTCCCTGCAGTAAGACTGTGGGAATGTCAGAGGATTGTTTATGATATACACGGCATGAAAACTTTGAGAGGGGGCAGCATTCCTCAGTCACAACGTTCTCTGGATGGACAAAAGACAAATGCTAAGAAAAGGCTTTCTTTCCTCCCTTCGTTTTTTTTTTCCTTTATGAAAACAGACCTTTTGCTTGAGCTGCTACTGAGCGTTCAAGTTCCAAAAATAGACTCCTGGCAGGAAATTCCCCATTCTCAGACGCGTTTTTAAAGAGCTGCATCCATCCGAACGCAGTTGCAGTAATCCTGTTAACCCTAATCGCTTTCCTGCACATCCCTGCAGCCCGTCCTTCATTTGGCCTGCTTTGCGTCTCTGCTTTATCTACAACATAAACCAGGGTTATGCTGGTTGACGTCTGATAATGTGAAGGCGAGCACTTGGAGCTGTAGGTTACACCCCGAGGTTTTTCCAAGTACTGAGGCATTATCATCCATTACTTTAATATAAAAAGGATTCTTAAACTTTGCTTTCAATCTGGTACAAGTCAGAGAAATAAGGGAAATATATATTCTCAATTCCATGCATGTATTTTTAAAATCTGAAATAGGCTTTTGACAGGTCTCACTGAGGCATGAAATTCACTCAGCAAATAAATTGAGCAGATAATTGCTCAATTTCTGGATGGAATACTAAACAAAACAAAAAAAGCGGATATATCCAAACAATTTTTACACGGTACAACAGCAGGATGATGAAACAGATTCAGCTCTTTTTTAATACAGGGCCTCTATTTATAAGAACAGAACGCACAAAGGAGGGAGAAATATTGCATCACAAAGGAAAAAGCTGGATTTTGTCGACCTTTACACATTCCTGTTGTAAATAACAATAAAAACATCATGTTTTGTCTTTAGCCAAGTTTTCCTACAAACCCCAACAGTTTCTTAGCTTAGCTAATAGCTTCTCTTTTTTTAACCATTGGTCCTTATTTAAAAAGATAGATTATAACTAATTAGATGTACTAAATTCCATTTACTAGAGAGCATTTTTTAAAATACTTTACATAAGGTTTCATACTAATCTACTCATTGTGATAAAAAAAAAATGCTTGTTTTTTAATAAAAAAAACACATTCACAGTTTACATTTGAGTAAGAGTTTATATCTGTATTCAAGCTTCGCTAGTTTAATTTTATTTTCCATCTGCTGAATCATTCCAAGGTTACGTGAAAATACAGCAAATAAAATATGGAAATAAATTACACTATTCTAACCTATACACATTATATAATGTAAGTGTTCATTTGATAAGTTTTATAACAAAAGATATATTTAATAGTTTGAAAAGTTTTCATCCAACCTAAAATTGCACGTATGTTTTTAGCTTGATTGTTGAAAATATGTTTTAGAGATGAGCAGCAATCGCTCAGTATCTGAGCATCTTTTTCATCAAATACTTAGACTCTTTTCCAGTTATTTCTATGGTGAGTAAAAATACAATGAAGAAGGGCTACTTTTGACTACAATTTGGGGCTTCCTAATGCCATGTGCTGATATTTATCGGATACGAAAATACCACATCTTCTGAATAAAAAAATAAAAAAAACACTTGTTTAAAATTGAATATTTGCCAAAGTATTATCTAATTTAAAATAGGCCAAATGACAAGTTAAACTTTGTTTTTACTCAACATGTTAAACAGAGTTTAAATATTTCCATCGTTGCAAAGCTTCTGATGTTGCAGAACTACAGGCCTATTTCGAACCTCCCCTTCATCAGTAAGATTATTTATAATCTTTCGTAGTTAAATGACTTCCTAACAATGACCAGCTGCTTCAATGTCTTCCAGTCAGGCTTCCGTGTTAAGCACAGGACAGAGACTGCCTTTATTAAGCTATTTAATGACTTCTGTATAAATGTAGCCATTTGAAGTACCACATTGATGCTATTGGACATAGCATCACTCTATACTATTGATCACTCAATTTTATTAGAGCACCTAGAAAGCCGGGTTGGCCTTTCTGTTATAGCAATCAAGTCCTTTTTTGTGTCAGTTGGTTATTTTATATCAGAGAACACAAAAATCATGTGGCGTCTATCTTAGGGCCCCTACTACTTGTTTTTCTACAAACTCTGTCCAACTCAGATTTTATACCAACAACAACATAAATGATCATAAATATGCAGACGAAAGCCGTAAATTATGTCACCAGGTGACTATAAATTCATTCAAGCTCTGTGTAATGCACAGAAGACACATGGATGTGCCAACAGTTTCTATTGCTGTGCCCAAACAAAACTAAAATAATAGTTTTTAGACAAAGGGAAAGGTTTTTAAAAGTTTGCAAACAGCTTCAATCAGGCTCTAAATCTAGGTGTAGTGTGGACTCCAACCTGAAGATTCAGAGGCTCATAAAGACAGCAACAAAATAAAACTTCTATCACCTTAACATCTCCACGATTAAGACTAATGTCACAGGATTTGGAAACACTAATACATGTTTTAGTAGAATTGATAACAGCCGCAATGTCTTCACATGTCTGCCAATGTAGTTGTTTAGTCAGCTGCAAATGATTCAGAATGCTGCTGCTGAAGTCCTCACCGACATGAAGAAAGTAGAGCACATCACCCCAGTGCTAAAGTCCTATGCAGGCTTTCGGTATCTCAGACAATCGACTTTAAAATACTTCTGTTGGTCTACCAATCACTGAACGTGGACCAACAGAAGCGCATTACAGACTTGTTGTCAGTGTATCAACTGCCCAGACCTCCCAGTTGTTCTCGCTTAATTCTACTCTGCAAACAACCAAACCAGAACCAAATCTAATCTGGAACAAACTCCCAGAATATTTAATTAGTGCAGAAGCCTTAAATGGTTTTAAATCCAGATTAAAAATCGATTTGTGTAGAGTGGCCTTTAACTGTGCTATCTGAACATTTTAATTAGCTTGAAGCCAAACTTTCATTCATTCTCTTCACAGTTTTATCATTTCTAATTGATCTTGCAATTTACTATTTCTTGGGTGTTTTCCTATTCTGTACACCACTTTGGGTTATCTTGCTACTCAAACATATATATAAACTTGCCTTGCTAAGTAATTAAGCTAACCATAGCCGGCTAGTCAAACGGTACTACTTATGTTAGCCAGTTGGCTAGTTAGCTAACCTGCTGGCTAGCTAGCTCAAGATTAAAATAAGTATTTGAAGGGAGTTGCATGTTTTAGATGTATTTTTTGAGAAGACATTCATATCCCTATTTATTGAAGCCTGAGGGACAATATTCTGGTAACCATTTTAAAAACATATCTCTAAATCATTAAAAAATGTTCCCCGTCTCTTGGATTACATTAAAATTCATTTCTGTACCTCTTCAGGGACAACAAGCTGCATCACAATTAATGTCAAATTTCGAAAGAAGAAGAACTAAGTGTGACTAATGGTGTGTTTGAATTTTAAACGGCTGTCATATTTTACTACTTCTCATTTAAAGTTTGAATTTTGATTGAAAAGTTGCTACTAAGCCAACAGATGTGGTGAATACATCCTTAAAAAGGCAAGCACAGAAAGCTATCTGCAAAACTGAAACTTACTAATGATGCCCTACATGAAAGAGCTTCCATGTACATTGACCAAACTTCAGTGGATTTTTAAATTCTTGAAAGCCAGAAACCCAAAAAAAACAACACAAAAGTCAAAAAATAAAATAAAAAAATAAAACACACCACTTCAAAATCCTTTATTGACAATATTTCTATTACATGCAGACACACATGCATGGAAAAAACCAACACGCATGCAAAACCGTACCTACAGTGAACATGATGACAAAGTAAGGCTGTGTCTGTAAGGTGGAGAAGTGATATTAATTTACAATCCCATCTTTAGTCAGCAACACCAAGGACTCTGGTGTGGTCAGAGCTCACCATCAGAGCCACTACTTAGTCGGGGGTCTCTCTAGACCAGCACCATATTACAACTAAATGTCCCTAATTAGATTTTCTCCACTGGCTGAAAATCCCCCTCGATTCTGGCCATGCGGGGGTTGACTTTTGAAAACACTGGAGACATTTATTCACATTTAAGTTAATTAAACCTTCCTCAGCTGTGACAGTTTTATGAAGAAGCAGGGGAGGTGAGACACAGGATGGTGATTCTTTTTTAAGCGAGTAGATGTGTGACAAACAGGATATCTACAGAACTTTTAAAAGTCACTGAGCCTTCCTGTTTTTGTGTCATGTGTAATCTTAGTTTGATAGCTCTTTATAATATGGAGCTAGAGTAGGTGAGAGGTTCCTGTTTTCTTTAATTTGGGTGCTAAGAAAGCTTTGCTGCACTGCCAGATTAAAAAACTTTTAGGTGTACAGGCGCACATCTTGGGCAATGAAGTGCTACTCACTGCTGGTCAACTGGCTGAAAAAAAGCCCAGTACAATTTTATCCCACTTACAAGAAAGACAGGTTCAAGCCCTGGCTCAGGCTGTCAGTGTCGTCGTGTCCCTGCGCAAGAGACTCCACCCGTACCGCCTACTGATGGCGTTGGTAGGGACTGGTGGCGCCAGTGTACGGCAGTCTTACGTTTTTTCAGTGAGCCCCAGGGCAGCTATGGTTACAGTGTAGCTTGCCACCATCAGTGTGTGTGTGTGTGTGTGTAAATGACTGAATGTAGTATGAAGTGCTTCTCTGAATTGAAAACGTCAGAAAACTTAAAGTACAGGCGCATTTACCATTTAAGTACAGATCTAAAATTTAATTTAGAAATGATTTCTTTAGAATTTGCTCAAGTCATTATATGAGAATTATAATAAAACTGTCTCAGTATTAAAGTGATCAGCATGTTGTTTATTTTAGCTGCACTAATAAAAAATTCAAAATGCTGTCCGATCTTTTTTGCTGGTCATAATACTGTAAGAACGGCTCATTACAGAACATGTTTAGTTTCTACCCATTTCATAAATTTATTTATTATTATTTTGCAAATGAATCTGTCAATTATTCTTCGGATAGCAAAAGGTTTCTTAAAGTAGACTTTTTGTGAAATTAAACCAGGTGAAACTAAAACTTTTCCAGACGATTGTCAGATGAGAAGGATTTTTTATCTTACATGGAAAATGTTTACTTTTTTTTTTTTTTACAATTTTGGTCAGTTAAAGGCACATTTTAGAGTCTGTACACCCCGGTTGACCATCAATCGATTACTAAGTTAGTTGACGATTATTTCAATAATTAATTAATCGGATTATTTGTTTCAGCCCTAGTTTACATCCACTGAGAAGTCATCCGTTTCTCCTTCAATGTGGCCACAACAACTTCGTCAAAAAATGTATCAGGTTTTAGCTCTGCTTGGCTACTAAATAAGATGTTTTATTGTTCAGGGTGTAAATAAATATTAGTCCATGCTCATGCTGAATTAACTGAGAAAACCAATGCATTTTTACTCCAGATCAACACACCATGAGAACCTGGTGGGGTCCATTCCTAATAGAAACAGCTGTAGAAGCCACAGAGTTTTAGGTTTAAGGATACATTACATCTTCTTATCTAGTTTGTTTAGATTGGCTTCAGAACCTTATGGTGTTTGCAGGATAGATATTTAGGACTTTTTGGGCTAGATGAGCCGTTGAGGAAAGGAAGAATGGGGAGGAATCAAAATATAAAGAGAATGCTTAATAGGAGCTTGAGAGATTGAGCTTACCTTCAGAGAAGAGCCTCGAGGACTGACACACTTGAATGGTTTCTCCTCGCCGTCCACGGGATCGTCCACCTTCTGTCTCTTCTCAGCGGCCTCAGCCCTTCTCCTCTCAATCTCCTCTTTCATCTTCCTCTTCTCCTCCTAAGGCAGACAAGAGAAGGCAAAACTAATCAGTTTTACACCTTTGAATATTCATTTTGTTGTTGCAAGACATTGCTGAACCCGTAATCTGCTCATTAAACCTTATTTAACGTGCATATTTATACAGATTGGTTCCATTTCTGACTTTTCTGATTGTTTAAATGTTTTAGACATAACCAACATAATCAAAAATGAACAAAAGTGGCTCTAAAGGGAGGAGTTGTTATATTAAAGAAGAGAAGCTGAAAATAAATGTGAAAATAGAGAGAAAAACATCAATTTCTCTAAGAAGGGTTACCAAGTCAATTTTAAGGGGACTCCACAGAACCACAGTGCTAGTCATTACTCACAAATGGAGAAATGATGGAGCTGTGTTGAACCTTCCCATAAGAGGTCGTCCTACCAAAGGTCGTCTATGAGCCAATCAAAGACTCACCCAGAAGGTCACAAAACAACCCAGAAGGACGCATAAAGCCCTGCAGAATAGCTCACCTCGATTAAGGTCAGTCTGCAACAATAAGAGAGTTTAAAGGCCCAATCCACTGCTGACTGAAGAGAACACAAAGACCCAAAAAAACATGGTGATCCCCAAGACTTTTAGGAAAATTTTAGAAAACGAAAACTTTAGGAAGGTGTTAGCCCATTTACATCGCATTTAAAAATAACACTGATTCAGATTGAGAGTTAGTCTGGTGGATAAATTTTTTTTTTTTTATTATTATTACCTCATAAACACTCACCGTTCCCTTTATTAGGTACAACTGTCCAACTGTTCGTTAACATAAATTTCTAATCAGCCAATCACATGACAGCAGCTTAAAGCATTAAGGCATCTAGCTGTGGTCAAGACAAGCGCTGCAGCTCAAACTGAGCATCAGAATGGGAGAGAAGGGGGATTTAAGTGACTTTAATGGTTGGAGTATTTCAGAAACTGCTGATCACGCCCAACCATTTCTAGGGTTTAGAGAAAATGGTCCAAAAAAAGGGAAAACAACCATTGAGCGGCGGTTCTATGGGTACAAATGCCTCGTCGATGCCAGAGGTCAGAGGAGATTGGCCAGACTGGTTGAAAGGCAGCAGTAACTCCAATAATCATCTCTGAACGCACAGCATGCCGAACCTTGAGGCAGATGGGCCACAGTAGTAAAAGGCCACACCGGGTGCCAGTCCTGTCAGCAAAGAACAGAGATTGAGGCTACAACTCAGACAGGTTCACCTAATTGCGCCTTAGAAAATTGGGAAAATGTTGCCTGGTTGAGGTGAGTCTCAATTTCTACTGCTACATTGGAATAGTAGGGTCAAAACAGCATGAAAAACATATTTTTATTTATTTCTAATAGTTTGGGGGATGTGTTATGAGTGTGTTTGTAGGCTATATATGTGCTTTTAGCTGGGATTTATTGTTTCAAATGGCAGCTATTACTATGCACTGACAAATGTCCCCTAGGGGACAATAAAATATATTCTATCCTTCTCATTGAAGCATCCATCCAGACTTGTATCAACAGTTCGGGCTGATGGTGATGTGTAATGGTGTGGGGGATATTTTCTTGGCATACTTGATACAATTAGTACCAGCTGAGTTAACGCCACAGCCTAGCCGAGAATTGTTGCTCACAATGTCCATCTATTTATGAACCCAAAGTACCCATCTCATGTACCCATGACATCATTCATCTTAGACTGGTTTCATGACCATGACAATGGCTAAGTTCACGCTGCAGGCCTTGATGCTCAATTCCGATTTTTTTGCGAAATCCGATTTTTTTTACGTTGCCATTCAAATTTCCAAATATATGCGACTTGTATGTGATCTCCTGTGTGAACTGCAGTCATACAATGCAAGTGTCCCACATGCGCTGTAGAGGACGCAATGACGTCACAGGCCAGCGTGATCTTTTTTTCCGGAAGTAAACATGGATGGTAGTGCCGGCGCGCATCTAGAGGTCTTTTCCAATCATAAAAACACATTCTTTTCAATATAGTTAAACATAAATACTGCTCTCCGAATCATCATCTCTCATGGTTGTTGTTTTTCTTGCCGTTTCTGCGTAGCAACACGCATAATAGTGACCTTTGTCGGGTATTAATGACTTTCAGGTCGGATGAATGCGACCTGGCTGTTCAGACACAGGTCGCATTTGAAAAGATCAGATTCGTATCGGATTCAGGACCATACAACCAAGTGGCCTGGGTCAGATTGGAAAAAATAGGATCTGTGTTGTTCAGACAGCCATGAAAAGATCAGATTCAGGTCGCATATGGCCAAAAAAATCGGATTTGGGTCACTTCAGGCTGCAGTGTGAACGTAGCCAATGAGTTCACTGTATTCAAAAGGCCTCCAAGGTTACCAGATATTAATCCAACAGAGCACCTTTGGAATGTGGTAGGCTTGGAGATTATCATGGATGTGCAGCATCTACATGATGCTTTCACTTAAATATGGACTGAACTCTTTCAGGAATGTTTCCAGTACCTTATTTAATTTATGCCACAAAGGACTAAGGCAGTTCTGGAGGCAAAAAGGGGTAAAACCCGCTGCTAACAAGGGGTAACTAACAACACGGTTGGTGAGTGTATAGATGTATTCTAAACCATTTCACTAAATAAGACTGTTTTGTAAGAATATTTTTCCTAGGTTTTTTTAATTTATTCATTCTGTGTATATCTGTTTAGTCCTGCTCTTTAACTAAAGCTGGTCTGGTATAGTAGGGTCAGGTTGTTTGATGATCTGGGGTTGTTCTGATTTTTTAGGACCTGTATCATTTAACTTTACTGATGAAACCATGATTTTTTCTCTGTCTTCCACCATGAGTTCATGATCCTGAAATAAAAAAATAAAAACTGACTCTGAATGGCACAATCTTTGTTTCGAAATAGTGCTAAAATGTGATTGAGACGCTGCACTGTCGCCTTTAACAGGCCGTTCATGCTCAGCAACCTTCTAATGTGACTGAATAAAAACAATCCTGCAAAGAAAGGGCGGCTAAAACATCTCCAGGGATGTATATGTTGAAACAGGGTCTTGCATAAAAAGAGGATAAGTTTGATTTAGACAGATATAAAAATTATTTTCAATTTACCCAGATTATATTCTGATATGAAAATTTGCTGTGATCAACAGAAAAAACCCAAGAAATCTGGTATATTTCTAGAGAACTGTATATGTATCCTTTGATGCAGGTTACAAAGATGTTAAATCACTCAAAAGATATTCTTATTTACAGTTGTCATTTCTTTTAGACAGCGGCCCATTTGGACAACAACATGAAAAAAAAACAAAAACCCAGCAACAAAAACCAATTAACGTACCAGCCATTTGTTGTGAATTCAGACAATGGCTGGAGCTTGGCAGTGAGTCAACCCTCTCCAGCTTCCTTGTCTTGGTTAATTAGTCTCTCTGTATCTCTGGGCCATCTTTTAATTACTAACCAAAAGGCCTCATTAACATCACACAAGAGAAGGAGAACGGGGGCTGATAGTGGGAGACGGGCCGCCACATTCGGTGCCAAGATCAACAAAGGCGACCAGTCAGGGTGACGGCGAGAGCGCGGGGGCCTCGGGGTGAGCGGATTGAAAGGAAAACCGATGACACCTCCGTTTAGAAGACGACTCAAAGGAAGATACAAACGGAAACATCAGGGTGAGGCTGTTTGGAGGAGGAAAGAGCAACAGATGGAGATTTAACTACTAACAATAGGGTTGATTTAAGAGGAAAGGACCAGAACTTTAGCGTGACGTTTTGTACAAGCCTGTACCGACCTACAAAAAAGGATGAGAAGAAAAAGCAGCGAATGATTGAAGAATTACCTCCTCTCTGGCTTTCCGTTCCGCCTCCTCCTGCTTCCGCTGCCTCTCCTCCTCCTCCAGCACCTTCCTCCTCTCCTCCCGCTTCCTTTTCAGCTCCTCCAGCTCAGCTTCGGCCTCCTGCTGCTTCTGCCTCATCCTCTCGAACTCCTCGCTCTCTGCGTCATCACGCCGGCGCTTCAGCTCCTCCAGCTTGCGCTCTGCCTCCAGGCGGGCGTCGTCATCCAGCTCGTCGCCAGCGGACACCTCGGGGGAACGGACACTGCTGCGGCTGAGGCGGACAACAGAACAAGGAATAAAGTTACCTCCTGACACTTGATCTGGACTTAATATTTAAAACACAGAAACCCAGATTTTCTTTCTGAGAGAATAAAAAAAAGCAGGACTCCTCTGCAGGTAAAGTTAGCTCCAATTGGAGGTTCCAGAAACTACTGACCAATCGGGGCTGAAAGCAAGTGTATGCCACACTTTTTAGACTTCTCTTTGAAGATCTCTTGATAAAACACACCATTTAAAAACGTATTGTGTTGAGCAATCCCATTTATTACCAATAAAATACACAAAACTCCACAGAAGGAGAAACTCCCAATATAATGGGTGGATACAAATGCTACAAATTATAAAATCTTGGAAACTTTTCTTGTGGCTGAGGATCTAAGTTTAAACTTAGCAAAAAGCTCCTAAATATTTCAGGAGACTTGAGGAGACGCAAACGATGACTCAGCATGTTTGTACCTGAGGGTCCTCTCAGGTTTCTTGTGCTGTCTGGGAGCTGCCTCGTCATGCAGCCCTCCGTTATGCTTCCTCTGATCCTCCTCAGAGTCTTCCCTCTCGTCCACCTGTCGCAAAAAAAAAAAAAAACTCCCATCAACCACCAGTTGTAAACCAGCAGGAAAAGGAGGCGGAGAATTCAGAAAAGGGGGCGTGGCCGATTGTGAGCAAAACCCAAATTCAATGTGACTGAAAAGTGCTGAGATGTTGGAGTGGAAGTGGTACAGGAGGAACACGGTGATCACTTTCTGGAGCGTAACAGGGCCTGTAAAAAGTCGCCACGGTTACGGAGTGAACCACGCCACAGAAACAAGGTGCTCGGGTAATTTCAGTGTCCTGCTCCTTTAATCACATTTAATTAGCAAAAGTTTGTTTTAGTTTTCAGGAACTCCTACAGAGGCCTGATTATGAATCTTAAACACATTAAGACACTGAAGTTACCCTTTGAAGCGGTGCAGCAAACCTACACTGAAGTTCTTACCGCATGTATGACACCTCATTATCCTCTGATTGCTGTATCTCAGATACCTCAAAGTCCTCTTCAATGTCATTTAGTAATATACGCTGGCTGTCTGTTTGGATATCTATATAATCATCCTCAGGTACCTCTTCAGCCTCCCCTGATGCTACTGAATCCTCCTCAACCTCTGAGTTTGCCGGCTTGGCCTGATTTGAACTCTCACTGACTACCGAATGGGTTTCTTCTTCAATGAGATCCTAAGAAAAGGGATTACAGCAGTCCTTTGAAGCACAGGTCTGGGATTGGCTCGAGGATTTGCATTTCAAAATAAAAAATATAAGAGACTTTTCCTGCGTACCTTGTGTTGCATTACAGTCTCCTCTGTTGATGCCTGGAGAGAGAAGCATCATATTTGCACCGTTTGTAAGCAAAAACTAAATTAACACCTGGTTTGCTTATTTTAATGCACGTTTTGTCTAAATAAAGACCTTTAATTATTTATTCGTTTTTTTTTTCAATATGCACAAATGATATACAAATAAAACCTTATCAATTAGAACTGCATCTGTGAAATTTTTACATGAGCCTAAAAGCACATTTAGTTTCTACACCCTGCTGGTCCATCATCGAAACATGCTATCAGAGTATGGTGAAGTTTATGGTTTTAATGTTAATGAATTAATGAATTAAACTGACCTGTTCTCTCATGTAAGACAGTCTTGGTTTGGTTTCTACAGCTTCATCCCTCTGCTCCTCCTCTTCCTCTCTCTCAGGAGCAGCTTCCTCTTCCTCCTCTCTAGGTTCCTCTGGTTCTTTTTCCTCCCGCCTCGAGCTGATGCTTTCAGTCTTCTCTTCCTCCTCCACGGTGTCACGGTAACGCCGGCCGCGCGTGTGCCTCTCCTCCTCTGTGCTGTTTTTCTCCAGGCCGACGCCGTCGCCGGCGTCCGCGGCGGTTGGGTCCAGCTGCCTCTGCCTCTCCAGCGCCTCCTTCATGCGCCTCTGCCGTCTCTCCTCTCGCTTGGCCATGCGCTCCTGCAAGGCCTGGTCCTCATCCTCCCCGCCATATCCATAGGAGCTGCTCACAGAGATGGATTCTGTCACGCTACGGGGAGAGAAAGGGGACAATCTGCCTTAGTCTGTGCAACACTGACTCCATTAAGAAAACACTAACAGCTTCTTTGATTTCTTTCCAACCTTCTTTAACACATCCACTTAAACTGTACCAGAAAATCTAACCTTTAGCTGCTGTGTAACTCTTTTGGTCTTACATGGGTTTTAATCATGAGGAAAAGCCGCTGATTATGTGAAACATCGAGCCCGGTCATGTTTGAGCAATCCGTGCTGCTTTTAAAGCAAGTATTAATCGTCTGTTCAAACGGAGATCAGTGATATTATCGGTTATTGATGTCGTATTTCAGTCAAAGTTGGAGGGAAAATGTGTCAGATTTTTTTTAATCTGTGTCCTAAAACCAATGCCAAGCTTATGTGGGGGTCATTCTATTTAAGTAATGTTGTCAAAGTTTCAGTTCACAGTCTTATTATTTGTTAAGGCCACAAATCTGACTTCAAAAGGTATTTCCTCCATTTGACATTTTAAATATTGGTTGAGAGAATCGAGCCTGATTTGCTTTATATCTAGATTGATAGGAAAAACATGAAGTAATGCATTTTAACATGATGCAATCTTTAAATAAACCTAAGCAAATCCTATATGATATAACAGAGATTATAAGGAGACCCAATAGAGCAAGGAACATTAAAATAAGACTTTACGAAGGAGGGTGGGGGGTAGGAGGAGAAGATTGTTATATTTTTTTGCTTTGTTTTCGTTTGATGTTAAAAATCAAAACTCATCTTCCTTGTATGGTGTGTTTTTAAGACTATATATATCAATAAGTTTACTTTATAAAATACAAATTTTCAGTATAACTGTAAATGCTTACTATACACTATAAATATCTTGTAAAAGCTTCTGTTAATAAAACAAATCTTTTTTTTTTTATAAAATGTATAATTTAGCATTTACAAATATTACATAAAGTTATTGATCTGCCTCTTATGGCATCTTATCCAGAGTTGCCAGTAATTATAGACTCAAAAATATAGCAAAATGTTTATACCAGATATGAAACAGATCTTTTTTTTATTTTTCTTTCTGTTCAATAAAAGAGAAAACAGCAACAATGATGATGCAGATAAGGACAGAAGAATACAAAATATCCAGATGGTTTCCCACCGTTTACAATTTCCTTCCAATCCTTCACCCTTTCAGCAAAAGGTCAAAACTTAGCAGCTACAGCGCCAGGCAGATGTAGAAAAATCAAGGGTTTGTGTTTTTGTTGTGCAGCGTAATCTGTTCTGTAGGAAACTGAAATAAAAGCAGGAAAAACGGAAATCTTTTTCCATTTTCTTCACTTTTTATCCAATTACCATCTAGATACATTTTAACCTTAGGGAATCCTGAAAAAAACAAATCGGGTAGAAAAGCAAAAAAAAAAAAAATTAAAATTATTAGATTTGTCTGTGTTTAATCTAGTATCCAAAAACATGATTAATACGTTAACTGCTCTTTCTAAAATGGGTGTTTGCACCAATAGATCTAATGATCAAACTTCAAAGAAAAAAATTATTTAAATTTAGTCTCAAATGGGGCCTGCTCAGGTTAGCATTTAGCTCGACTCATCATTGTCTCTGATTTTCCAAACTAAGATTGAATCTGCTGCAGGTAAACCAACATCTAGTTCAAATATCTACATCTTGAGTATCAATCTTATGCCAACACGTAAACAGAGCATATCCTTCGATCTCACTCAGACCAGCATGACTCAAACTATTCTGACCTTAACGTCTGGCAAACATTACCCTTCACTCCAAACAATCAACAATGGTTTGTGAGAGCTTGTTCCTGGCTCAGCATCCTCAGGCACAATCCCCCTGTTGTTTCACCAGCCCAGGATGTATCTCTGAGCCCAAAGGGAGGAAAAATTCACCACCACAAAGCAACGTTTGTATTTTTGGATGTTAATTCGTAATCACTCCAATGAGATGGGTTTTTACTCCCGCCTCCTTTTACTGTTTTGCTCTTCGAGCATTTTTCAGAAAGGGATGAGATCATGCATTTTGTTTTAGACATGTTCTAGGAAGGAAGTGATTCCGACTTGCTGCCCGTCTCTCTAATGAGGTCACTGACTTCATCTCAGTTGAAGAAGCACATTTTATCAGCTATACTGGTCTGGGTTCAACAAGTTTAAAGCTTAGATAGCCTTTTCTTTTGCTTTAATACAACTGGAAGATGGAAGTGACCAGTTTAGGCGGCTGTGCCGCTGTGAGAGTTTCACCTGTGGCTGTTGGTCAGGACGCTGCTGTCTGGCTGGCTGCTTGGCTCCTCGCTCTCCCTGCTCCTCAGCCTCTCCTGGCGTGCCCTGCGCCTCCTCTCGCGGGCAGCCTCCTCCTCGTCGTCATCGTTCCTGAGCATGCTAAGGGGAGCAGAAAAAGAGGAATGTGAGAGGACAAAATGACTTTTTCTTCCTTGCCCTTTCTTTCTTTACGCAATTTCCAACCCTCCTTCCGATCCTCATTTAAACCTCCAAGTCAAACTTCAAAGAGAAGGACTCTTTAAATTGAACTGTAATCGCCACGGTGACCAGGGCTGATGGATTTGCTTCGCTTTTTTTTTTTTTCCTCCCTTTTGCCCCACTCCTTCCTCTTATCACGTTGACCTGTCAGCTTTGAGACATCTTATACTTCTTATCGAGGCTGCAGTTTTCACGAGCTGATAAAAAAAGTCAGCCTGAGACCTCGCTTGGCTGCGGATAAGAGAGGACCATCAAAGTGTTTCTGGCTTGTCCGAATCTGGTCTAATTTATAACCGATCTTAACAGTTAATAATTCTTTGAGAAAGATATAAAACCAGGAATCAGCTTTTCTAACATGAACAAAATTGAATGAAAAGTAAAATCCACTAAAACGTCTTTACAGTGTGCTGGAGTAAGATGGTCAGTAACTGAAGACATGAATGTCAAAGGCACAAAATTGCAATTATTACTGTAATTTTGCATATATTGTCAACCAGTTGAATTATTTTACATTTAACTTAAATAAAGATCTCAGTGAAAATCTTACATTTCATTGCTACTGAAACTAAAAACTAGTCAGCCCTAATTTCTCTTCCTTCATTAACAACCTCCACACTGACCAGTGTGGCTTAAGTCTTTTAAATACTTTGAAGATCCCAAAAAAGTGTTCTTGGTCTCATGGTGGCAAGAATAGAAAAAAAAAAAAAACTTTTTGCTTTTAAGTGTTCATATTTCATGAGGTCAGCTGCTAAGCAAACAGGAAGTGCCCTCCACTTTAGCCTACATAACTCCACAAATGAAAACATGAAAGCAACATGGTGGCTCTGCAGGCCTTTTAGATTGATGAAGAAATGGTACACAGCACAATATTTACATTACATAGAAAACACATTTTACTGATATCTATATTTTCTCACTGCTAGCCAATTCGCATCAATATCATACAGTTTACTCTAAGAATTTCTGCACCTGAAAAAGGGTGACTTTTCAATCTCAAAAAACGGAATCATCACTTTTCCTTATTTAAAATCTCCACTCAAACCGAATACACAACTGTTTTGACACGCTTATGTACGCTGCTTTCAAGGATTGAACAAAAAAATCACAGTTTCCTACTAGCAAAGAGAAGAGAAGTCAGAGAGAAAAAAGGCACGCATGCATATATATCAACAAAGAAGAATGGTTTAATATCGATATGATCTACTGATATTGCCGTTATGGCCAACAACTAATCAGGTTTTTTATATTTCCTTACCTATTCTCCCTGAAAAACTAACCACAGTGCTGACATTTTCTCTGTGCTTCAGTTCAACACATAATCCAGCGCTGCATCATTATTTTACTCTTGCATCACTTAAACAAACATTGCATGACTAAAACAAACATGACCTCGTAAAACAAAAAACAGTGACTATATGGAGACCAGCTGTTATCATTGCTCTGGTTGTCGTTATTGGACTCACACAGGTGTGTCTAAAAATGATTAACATCGGCCGATACAAATGTTGATGCCCATATCTAATGGGATACCCATCTTCTAAAAGAAGAGAATTCAAATCATCAGTGGACACAAAAACACTTTAGTTACCTTAACTTATAGGAATTAAAATGTCAACAACTCTTTGTCTAAAATGCGGCTTCTGCTTAATAAAAATTTGTCCCTTTTTTTGTTCCTGACGGAATACGCTACCTGACTGACGGAATACGCTACCTGACTGACGGAATACGCTATCCGACAAAATACGCTACCTGACAGAATACGCTACCTGACTGACGGAATATGCTATCTGACAAAATACGCTACCTGACGGAATACGCTACCTGACGGAATACGCTACCTGACTGACAGAATACGCTACCTGACGGAATACGCTACCTGACGGAATACGCTACCTGACTGAATACGCTACCTGACGGAATACGCTACCTGACTGAATACGCTACCTGACTGAATACGCTACCTGACTGAATACGCTACCTGACAGAATACGCTACCTGACTGACAGAATACGCTACCTGATGGAATACGCTACCTGACTGACAGAATACGCTACCTGACTGACAGAATACGCTACCTGACTGACAGAATACGCTACCTGACTGACAGAATACGCTACCTGACTGACAGAATACGCTACCTGACGGAATACGCTACCTGACGGAATACGCTATTCTACAAAATACGCTACCTGACGGAATACGCCAGCTGACGGAATACGCCAGCCGACGGAATACGCCAGCTGACGGATTATGCTACTTCTATAAAGTAATATTTTATCGACTAAAAAATAAAGATCAACTAAAACCCATAATAGCGGCAAAACTTTATGGCTGAAGCTATCTGTTCTCATTTGCTGGTCAAAAACTAAACTTTCCAAGCACACAGCAGGTGCATTGAAAGGTCAAGGCAGGTTATGAGTAAACATCTGGTTTTTGGATTAGTTTTCACAACTCTCTTGCTCTACTTACAATAATGCCCAGATATTAGCAAAGATCTACTGTTGAAAAATACAGAACAAGCAATACTTTGGTTACATCTTACTGCAAAAATGATCTAGAAATAAGTCAAATGTCTTAAATTAAGTGTATTTGGCCTTAATTTGAGCAGGTAAATAAGATTTGCCAACTGAACTTGTATTTTTACTCTTAAAATAAGATAATTAGATAGTAGCACTTAAGATAAGACAATGCAATTGTTTTTTCTTATTTTAAATGTAACTTGTGTCTTAAATGTCTTGTTTTGTTGACAAAGTGACTTAGCTCCTCAATTTAAAAGCTAATGCACCTATTTAAAAAAAATGACTTGTTGAGATTTAGATTTTATGCAATGTTAATGCGATCAGCCACCAAGATGTCATGAACTGAAATAAGAATAAAATCCTAAAAATAATCAAACCCTCCCTTTAAAAAGAAAAAAGTAGATATGATGGAAAGCAACATTTTCCGTTCTCTATCAGAGACCAAGTTGTAGTAGTGTGCCTGGATGACACTGTACTGTAAATAAAGCAGCTGAAATATATTGCAAAGCAATTATATTTGTGCTATTTTATTTCCTACCCCTTCAAACTTTAAAATTCCTGCCTGAAACCGGGTTATTCGAGCCACCTGACGTTTATGAACCGAGCACCACGCTTCATCGGCGTTGCCCCGGCTGACCCTTACACTCCCACAGCTAACCGCATGCCCCCGCTACCTCAGATCACAGCGCAGCTTTTTGAGGTCAGCCAGCGAAGCATGCCTCTGCATGTTAATTGCAACATGTGTGGTGAGCAGAGCCAAAGCTCCTCTGGTTTTATGTGAAGTTTTACAGCTTGTGAACAACTTTTCCCTTCATTCCTTGCTTTTCAGCTGCTACTCCTCAACGAGCTCTGTCTCTAATTTTGCTCTCATATGAACAATGTTGTCATAACAATAACAAAAAATCTGCTGACGCCCATGGAAGGCCTATGGTGACATTAGTGATGTCAGGCAATGCTTTACATATGTGATTCCTTAAATCAGAGATCCATAAGGGAGGACATCTCTGTTCATTATTATGAATTAATAATAATTGTAGTAATTAAATCTTCACTATTCAAGGGTCCTGCCATCTGGACTTTGACCGGACCACATAAAGTAGATTGTTGATTTTCTCAAACAGGATTTTCTCAAATATGTTACAGTGAATTAGAGTCGAAGATTGTTGCTCTGTCTTTGAATACACTATCAAGATGTCCTCTGGTTTATTCAGATACAACTTTGCAAGCATAAGTTGTGCTGCAGCTTCTGGACATTTCTTACTTATAGCTTTGTTTTTCCCCACAGCTCCATGAAAGTCATGGAAACTTTCATTAGCATGACAGAAATGTTGCATAAGAAGAATGAAGATGATATCTTTTACTTTCAATCATTTTATCTTGCAGAAAAAGCCTAAAAAATTAACTAGGATGTGCAGTATACTTAGGTTTTGGCAACCTTTTTTTCATCCTCAGCTATATTACCCTGTAACAGAAAAGCTCATTAACCTTCATTTACTTTGCCATGGTAACATGATGTTTTTTGAGACGAAAAAGTAGTGAAACAACTGCTCCATCTCCCACAGGACCGATCCGCCCCAGAAACGGCACCGAATGTCATGAGAAAGAGGGAAAGACACGGGGCTAAAAATGGAACAAAAAGGGTCCTTGGTGGCTGCGATGGCGGCGACAAACTCAGGGTTAAAGATTCCCCCGTAGGAGAGAAGGAAAAAAAAACTCCTAAAAGCTGAATTAGCATTCCTGTCAATCACAGCCTTGGCGCATGCACTAAGCAAAGCCCTGATTTAATATACCCCCCCATCTTCCTTACCTGGGCCCCAAACTCTATCAGCATACTGACAGAAATATGAGGTGGGAGCAAAGGACAAGGGAGAGCTAGTGAAATGGGGAGCAGGGATAAAAAGGAGAAGCGGGAAATGAAAAACGGGAAGGAAAGGGTGGGCACAATAATGGAAAAAGGAGTAATCTGCAGATTTTATCACGGCCAACTTTTCCTGTACAAAATGATGTGCAGCCATGGTTATTATAAGCTTCAGCTAAGAGTGTTCGCTGGTGTACAGCATCCAACAGATGTCTGTTTCTAGGCTGACCAAACAAAAAATGGGAAGAAAACAGGAAAGATTGCAAGTAACATATATCTTTACAGTAAAAGCCAAAAATATTCATACGGCTTGAACTTAAAAAAAAAAAAAAAACTTTTATGAAGTTACCACTAGGACTGAAAGAATGAATCAAATTAATCCTTATTAATTGATAACAAACATAATAACTAATGTATAGAGCCTTTAACAACCTACTTAGAGCTGTTATTATAGCAAAATAATATAGTAAAAATAGAATTTCAGATAAAAAAAGTGGAAAAAGTGTTAGTTTCTTATAATTATC